CGCCTCCGCCTCTCACGCACGCCGCAATGTCGATAAACATTTGAAACAATATTTGTTACGCAACGTTACTACCGATTCGAATACATTAAGGATTCAACAGGTTGTTAGTGACATATTGGTTTAAACTAGATCCATGTTTTGTAAATGCCTAAAACTGAATATATTTCGATGAAAGAATAAGTGAACTATAACGCTAATTACGATATTGACGTAAAGTTGTTTGTAAGAGAAAAGTATTAAATAATTAGCATCTGGCATTTAGAGGACCTAGATTTGTATAAAAGTAGTTTATTCTTTGCGTGTTTATTGTGTCATAGTTAGTACAAAGAGTAAAATTTAAATAGACATGTGCATTTATATAAACGAATTGTTTTTGTTTTATCTTAATTATTTTTATCGATATTTTGTAGGTTGTTTGAATGGTTACATCACTTTGAAGAGTAATAAAACCAGTCCATAGAAGCGGGGGCGCTGCGGTAATATAACGTAATTCTAATTTTATATCCGAACGGAACTTTACAAAGTGGCCGAGATAGCAACATGTCCACAACATCATCCATGTTGCTTTGAATATTGTCCAACATTTGTCATCATGTTGATAGTCCTTAACAGTTCTTTTAGAAAATGTCTGAATCGATATATTTGCAGAATGCCAACTAAGTCAATTAGAAAGCGGACATTAGTAACATTTTCATACTTTATTCATAACTAGCTTTCGCTCGCGACTCCGTCCGCGTGGTATTAAAAAAAACAAAAATGAATAGCCTATGTGTTCTTCCAGACTATCTTCTACATCTATACCAAATTTCATCGAAATCCGTTCAGCCGTTTAGGCTACAAACCCTAACAAAAATCCATCTATCCATCCATCCATCTAAATTTTCGCATTTATAATAATAGTATGATTACCCCTACTCATTACACATTACCCATTACTCACCAACACCTCACATATAGTTTTAATTTCTTCTTTATTTTCTTTAAATTAATAACGTCCTTTTATTTAATTTTTTGTTTTTGTAAGTTTAATTGTGGTCTGTGGGACTGGGATCTGGTGATCCATCACACAGGTTCCCTAGTTATAACACTACTCTCCTGCCCAAGGGGAAAATCAATAGTTGTCTGTAGCCTATAGTTACATGATTTTTACAGGCAAATGTGACTTGACGTCTATATTTTTAAACAAGACTTGCTTGTAAAAATCTAACAAGTCATGAATTTATTCTTTGTTTTCTCCTGGTCTTATTTAATTTTTACTATTAATATAATTTTTAACGTATCAAGTACTAAGTGTCGTAATAAAATTGTGAGTTGTGATAAGTTTATCTTTAAAATTATTTACGTAATTCTAGGTAAGTGAAACATTTCAAGAAGTTAATACATATCAAAGAGACCGCGAATAATTGTTGAGGAAAACTTTAAATAAACCATACCGAGTAAATCAATCAATGCTTATGAATGGGCCTTGCCTCTGAGATCGTCAAATTGTCCCTTTCCTCAACTAGTCACTTTGAAGTGCCGCTGGACTGTCGGCTTCTTTACAATATTATAACTTTATGAGTAAACTGTGATTTACAGAAAAACCTTTGATATTATAATTCCTACTTCAAACTAGGCTAGTAAAGTACTCGAGTAGTTACCAAGTTTAGCATAGCTAAAATACAATCGTCTAATTAATTTGCAATTGCATACTCGACTAAACATTTGTTTATCAGACACGTTTAGTTATTAAATTACTGGCTTTTGCCCGCGACTCCGCCCGCGTAGATTTAAAAAAATCAAAAGTCAGTAGCCTATGTGTTCTTTCAGAGTATCCTCTACATCTATACCAAATTTCATTGAGATCCGTTCACCCGTTTAGGCTACAAACTCTAACAAACATCCATCCATCCATCTAAACTTTCGCATTTATAATATTAGTATGAAGTATGATATGATTTGATACTCTACTAGAGTACTAGCCTGTTGAGATCTAGGCTTAAAGCAGTGTAATCATTCAATTGTATCGCAAAATGTATTGACAAATAAAGAGCTTAAGTATAAAAAGATCCAAGCTGTAAGCAAGCTCGTAGTTATGATGTATTCATTAGCGATCCGCAAATTCTTAATGATAATCGTACGATATTTCGAACAGTCGTTAAGTTTGAATAGTACTATAGGAATTCTCAAAAATTAAATTGCTTATTCGGATTTGTTATCTATGATCGATACAAGTTACATTGTTAACTGGTTGTTTTGGAACGTGTCTGACATACTGTCGAGTATCCGGGACGTATGCGGGCTGTATCGATCATCCCGGATCTAACTGTTGTTTTCCGTGACTGAATTATTAACGAGACAATCAAAATCCGGGCATAAAAAAAAAGATTATTTCTAAATTGTGACGTCAAGACATCATCAGTATTTTTTGTATCGGTATTGCTGTATGTGGTTGGAGAAAGTCAGAATAAAACAAAAAAAAGAAGAGAATGGATTGGATAAGAAAAACTACCGATATTTCAAAATGTAAGTAAAATTTTAAGAATTAGATTACTATCAAATATTTTAAAACAACAAATGATAATCGGAATAAAAAATCTAATATGTACATTTTATATTAACGAGATATGATATCACCTTTTTATACAAGGATTTCAAGTAATCCGCATTTTTATTTGAACGAAATGATATAATTGTGCTAACATATTTAGTTACATCAAATAATTTGTTTATTCACTTTGTATGATATGAATCACTTTTCTTGAGAAAACGTAATATTTAGAAAAGTTCATAGTTACAATTCATTCATCATACTAATATTATAAATGCGAAAGTTTAGAGGGATGGATGTATGCTTGTTAGAGTTTGTAGCCTAAACGTCTGAACGGATTTCTATGAAATTTTATATAGATGTAGAGGACAGTCTTGAAGAAGACATAGGCTACTCACTTTTGTTTTTTTAATCCACGCAGACGGAGTCGCGGGCAAAAGCTAGTAGTGAAATATTTAAGAAAAGTCATAGGAAGTTAATTGACACGAAGATACTCTAAGTTGAAAAGAGTTCTGTGATTAAAATAAATAAAAACTTCCTGAATGT